CCTTACACACAAGGCTTACTTAATTTCCATTCTGAATGGGAGCAGTGAAGTTTTTTTTTAAAATTGTTACAGTGTATGTCTCACTGGAGAAAGCAATTGTTTTTGGAAAAGTTAGAGTAAAAGGAAACTAGGCTGCCAAAGAACAAGGTGGCTGGATACCATCAAAGCTGACACCAGCCAGAGCATGGAAAAACTCAAAGAAGCAGTGCAAAACTGGAAGATGTGGAGAGACCTGGCCCACAGAATCGCCAAGAATTGGACAGGATTGAATGGCTAACATCAACATCAACAACAGGGCATTTCATGTGTGGTTTTGCTGGTGCTGACCACCAGGAGGCAGTGCATGAACGTTTTGTCCTATTTGGAATTCACCAGATATACATAGCCACAAATCCTTCTACAGCAGGGGTCTCAACCAGTAATTATTTCCTCTTATCTTTGCTACCAATTCGGAATGCATGCACAGAGCACCTGTGATGATGTCTGGGCAGGTGGGTGGAGGCTCCCGCCGCCACCACTTCCGGTTCGCCCAAACTGGGGCAAACTGGCAGAATACCACCTCTGATCCCAGCCTGTGAACCATGAGGGAATTCCAACCAGGCCACAGAAATGGTCTACAACTGTGCTTGCATCCTCACGTGCCCGAGCAGTGAGTGACCATGGGCAGGGTGCTTCATTTGCGTAAGTGGTAGGCCCGCATGCATGCGCATTTGCCGGCTATTTAGGTAGAACTATCTCCTTCCAACCACACCCACCCCCGGTCCGTACAGCCAGAAAGGTTGAGGAACTCTGTTCTATAGGATTCAAACCCTTTGGAACTCACAGACCATTAAACTTTAGCTACATAGTGCATTATATAGCTAAAGTTTAGCTATATGTACAGCTATTATAGAGCCGTGGTGGCACAGTGGTTACAATGCAGCACTGCAGGCTACTTCGGCTGACTGCTGGCTGACTGCAATTTGGCAGTTCAAATCTCACCAGGCTCAAGCCTTCCATCCTTCCGAGGTGGGTAAAATGAGGACCCAGATTGTTGGGAGAAATATGCTGAGTCTCTAAACTGCTTTGAGAGGGCTGTAAAATCACTATGAAGTGGTATATAAGTCTAAGTGCTATTGTTAGTAGCTTTAGAAGTGATCCAAGCCTTGGTGCTCAGTGGTATTGTAGGAAGGCTTACTATACACAGAGAGGTTATCTTTAGGATGGTATGTATAACCCCCTTTCTTTTTTCTTTAAACTCTCAGACCAGAAAGATGTAGAAGTTACCACATATCATGCCCTCATGAAAGGGGGGGTGTCCTTATTTTTATACAATGTATATCTGTGGTGTTTCTATGTATAATCATCATCAGGAGGCATTATGTGACCAGTTTAATACTGTGTGGGACTGCTTGTTGTAAAAATCTCATATAAAATTCTGAAGGGTAGGGGAAATCATCTAAAAACTCAGGCATGAGGGGATGACATAAATCTTTATTTCTCTGTGTACAGGGCCCCAAACAGGATGAAAGCAGTCACATATTGCCTCCTAGTGGCCAGCGTAAGTATAGCCTGACTATATTTGCATGCCACGGTAAATGGAAGTGAGGGAGAATATTGGCTTTCAAGCAGAAAGACCCAAATGCTAGAATTAGCTCAGTAATGACAATATATCATTCCAGTGGTTTGGCCTGCTTGTTCCAGAAGCAGAAAAAGATATTTAACTACAAAGTACAGTAAAGAATAATCCTCAGCAGCATGTAACAGGATAAGGGAAAGCTGAAAGTGTATATGAGCAGAAAAGTATTGTTTGCCTTTCATTTTGACCTGGGTAATGTTGAAATCTCATTTTCATGAAAGTGGCACATTCATTTTCACAATATTAGGGAACGTCCTCTTCTTTCAGTTAGGCAGAGAATGAAATTGAGATAGAGAATTTCAACCTGCTTCTAGCACCAATTTTTTGATGTCACTCATTTGTAGTGTACAACAGGTAAAAAAGCAAGCAAGCAACCAGTGTATAATAAAAGTCTGTGCTTAGTTTTCAAGGAAGAATAAATGTCCAATGTTAACAAAGAAGTTAACAAGTGGCTCTTATTTTAACTTATTTCACTGTACACCTTTCACAATTACAGATAGTCCTCGGTTTATGACCATTTATTTAATGACCACTTGAAGTTGCAATGATGCTGAAAAAAGTTACTTACAACCAGTCCTCACACTTCCAACCATTACAGCACCTGTGCCATCACATTTGGGGCATTTGGCAATCGGCAAGTATTTACAATGACTGCAGCGTCCCAAGATTACATGGTAGCCATTTGCAACCTTCCCGGGGATTTCCATCAAGCAAAATCAATGGAAGAAGCTGGATTCATTTAATGACTGTGTAGTTCACTTAATGGCTGCAGTGATTCGCTGAATGACTGCAGCAAAAGGTTGTATAAAATCAGGCATTTCTCACTTAACAACTGCATCACTTAGCAATGGAAGATCCGGTCTCAATTCTGGTTGTAAGTCAAGGACTCCTATGTGCACCTGCACTGAAAGCCAACAGAAATTCCTCCTGAAGATCAAATGTAATTTCCTGATCCTCTTCACTTGTCATGGTTTCATATCTACATGTTGCAAACACGTTAGACATGATAGCCAAGAAACCTAAGGTGCGGAAACCCATTTTATCACCCCAAACAGAGATAAGAGCCCTAGTCTCAAAAGTAGCAAAGACTCTGCCCTGTGTGGACCTGCAAACCAAAGATGCTTTTACCCACATGCCAACACACATGCTTCATTTACTCATACACAAAGTCCAATTAGTATTCATTGTGAATGGAAACTATTTTAACACACATTACATTACAGCGTTGAGAATGAATGCATTATCCCCATGCTCCTTCCTCATAGCAACCAGGTATTAAAATCCATTCACTTAGGTCAATTGAGATCATTCCAAAGCCTCACTTGGCTGCAACCTCTCTGTGGCAGGGAGAGACTCAGGAGCTTGAAAGAGCTGGGGAAGAACCCACAAAGACTCCTGGGTTCCTACAGGGTGCCACAACAGCAAAAGAGAAGGCATTGTGCATCACACTGCCAATATCATCATGTGTGCCAAAGCAGTGGGAAACCCATGCCAACAGCCACAAATGGTTTTATTCAATAGCAAAGGTGAGTTTTCATGAGAGACCAGCACTTTGGGGAAAAGGTGAGTTATCTAGTAGTTTCCCCCCTTCCCCCAGTGAAATTGCCACTTCAATAAAAAGCTTTACACAACTTCAACTAATATAAGTAGTCCTGAGCATACACCTGCAACTGAGCCCAAAACTTCCATTGCTAAGCAAACTAGTTGTTAGTTTTGCCTCATTTTATGATCTTTCTTGCTACAGTTATTAAGTGAACCACTGCTGTTGTTACATGGCTGTTAAGTGAATCTGGCTTCGTTTGTCAGAAGGTCGCAAAAAGGATCACATGACCCTGGGACACTGTAGCCATCATAAATATATTCCAGTTGCCAAGTGTCCGATGTTTGATCATGGAGACCCTGCAATGGTCACAAGTCATATTTCTCAGTGCCATTGTAACCCCAAATGGTCATTAAAGAAGTGTTTGTAAGTTGAAGACTCCCTGCAATGAGAGCTACGGAACATTAATAGACTATCTGTGACAGGGAAGTGTGTCTGTTAAATCTGGCTGTCTGTTAAAACCAAATGTCTATCACTGACACAATTTCTATCAGTGGCTAATAGATGTTTTTATGCAAAACATGTAACTTGATGCAAATGATGTAAAATACACACAGAATGGATTTGTAAATTTCTACTGTTATATCGAAACAACAACAATGTAAATAAAAGGTTTCATAGTATGACCAGGTTTCAATTTTTTTCACTATTACCTGCCTATGCTGAATCTATCAATAAGCTGGAAAGGCTAATTACTTTCTATGGCCCAATTCTGCCAACATCTTAACTGGGTAAATAGACAAGTTAGTTTACTATGGAACCATAAGGATATGCCAACCTTAAAGTTCTCACTTCAATGGGAATACACAAATGCCCAATCGGTTTATAGCTTCTGAATCCTCTGACCTACTGGATAACCCCTACTGATAGGTCAATAAAAGAGTCTTACCGCTCCTCATGGTGCTGCAGATGACCGTCTCCTCCTCCTTCTTGCCCTTGTTTGGCACCACCCCATGTTTCACCCACAGGGACAAGGTAAAATGGTCACTCAGTCCTTCAAGAGCTCCAGTTCCACTGCCCATGGGCACCTGAGTTGCCTGGCTGCCGTTGAACCAATAGATGAGGCTGCTGTCCTGGCTGTAATGGACTGAGAGGCGTGCTGTCCAGTTGGCCATGGGGCCTGGCACTGGCAGAAGATCTACCTCACCTCGGGCAGCACCTGGAGGGACAAGAGAGGACACTCAGAATGGGGAAGTTTCATCTGATGGTCCATCTGTTGCTTTGGGTTGAATTTGCATAGAGAAACTTAAGTTGTGATCTTCACATCTTGTGTCTGTCACTTTTAACAATGCCTCAATGCCATTCTGTCTAGCCATAGTTTAGAATCTCCATCATCAGACTTTCTGGGTGAAACATTCTAGAGACCTTCATGGCCTACTCTTTAGAACGTTGACTTAATTTAGGTAACGATTCATTTAGAATATATTTCTATACACACACACACACACACACACACACACACACACACACACACACACCTCCTCCAAACATAACTAGATAGGAAGTGAATACATACCACAGAGTTTACGGAGTGACTTTTCAGAGTAATTGTCTCGATCACAACCTTTGGCTACATGATTTGTCTGTAACTCCACAGTAGCTTGGATGTTCCACAGAGGCTCATCACACGTCTCCAGATGGATGCTGGGGAAAAGGGCAAGGCTGCCTGTTCCAGGGATGTACTCAATTCTCTTATTCCAACCTGTTGGAGATTAAATTGTGTATAGGACATAGTGCTAGAGACTTTTCTCTGCTAGCTGCACTAGCTTAGACAAGCCTCTGAGCTTCCTTTAAAAAAACCCTACACAATCCATCATTATTCTAATTACATACAGATTATATTTTACCCACTTCTCCCTCTAGGAAGCTGAGGTAGCAGGGGTGAAGGCCTTTTCAAATCAATTTAGAAATAGAAGAGTTCATTTGTGTATTAGAAAAAGGATTTTTCTGCTGGTAATAGAGGCATACAATAATAATCAAGACTAGTCTTTTGATTGAGAGTTATAAGGACATTAGAGTATAACAGTGTTGCAAGGTTTGATGTCAGGTGTGAACAATCAAGTCCAAATATGAAGGTCCAGTTAAACTGATTTATTGCTACTCATGGCTACACATGGGAATATTTTCAACTAAAGCTGTTAGAAGTTAGATATGAATCAATGGAATGTAGGGGTAGGTGGACTTAGCTGATTGTGGGCTGATTCCTCTTTTAACTCTGCCTCCAGGTTCTGCCACTCCTTTCTCTATATTTGGTATGGCAGCACAGGACTGATCCTCTCTGGGTTCAGGTCAGGGGTAGGTTGCTGCTGGCATTACTGTCGGTTCGCAACCCACGCACAATGTGTGTGCACCACCAGATGTGTGCTGTGCGTGTGTGCGCTGTGTGGGTGTGTACTGGTCAATGTAAATTGTTCTGCACACATGTGCAGAACAATTTACAGTGAACTGCGCACATGCAGTCACTAAAATCCAAAATGGCGGTGGCCAAGCAGCAGTGAGGGAACTACCTATTCTGCGACCCAGGCCTGAATTCCACTACCAGGTCGACCAAACCGTGCCGAATCGGGAGCAACCCACCTCTGGTTCAGATGCTTACAGGATTAGGGTTACTTTATCCTCCCACTAAATTTGGGACTTGTTCTTGCAATTAATTGCATCCAGTCCAGTTTGCCATCTAAAGACTAACATTAATCTCATTGAATCCTATGAGGGGCAATCTTCTTTGAGTTCTTATACTCAATCAGGGCGCCTGATACTTTTCCATTAACTGTTGGATAAGTCTCCCCAACTTGGTTCGATATAAAAATCAATGGAACCTACATCAGAACCAATTGATTTGCACAATCACCCAGATAACACAATAGATGGAACAGCGTTGGTTTCTGTGGCAACATGAACTTACACACACGTCTTACATAAGGCATTCTCATTGCATTTTGACACACCCAACTCTCACTTCCATATAACTAAATGAGAAGTATATTCTTATATATAACCCCTTTATGCTTCTTTCAACAACAAAAATCATTCTTCACAACAGTTTATTTACCAACCGCTACCTTTTAACAACCTTTACATGTCTTAGACTCTGTTTCTCTATCTTTAGAAATCATTCTACCAAGGGATACATATTTCCTGTAATATTTTGCCATTTATGTATTACTTGCAATATTCCTTTCATTTTCCCCATCAAGCACCACTTTATTTTCAGATTCATACTCCTGGTGGCATTATACAATTTAACAATTCCTGCAAATCATTTAGGTTTTCAATCAATATTCTTGTCCCTGAGGCATGTACTTGTAATATCACCACAAGTATTTCTTACAAATATATTCATCAATGCATCAAACAACTAAAGGGATATCACACAGCCTTACCTGATTCCAGGCTTAGTGTTGAATTGCTTTCTGAGAATTATTTTTATTCTTGTGTATAATTTACTTCTATCACATACCACTCATAGTGCATTCAGCAATCAACTTTCAGCTCCATAAACATTTCATAATTCAAGTCTATCCATTTTCCCATACAAACAAATGAATAATTACATCAGAACATATTTTTACATGTTCCTAGACTGCATGCTGCTACTTCTCAAATCTTGCTAATTGTCATTTCGCATTCCTCCAATTGGAATTCTGCCATGCATCTTTCCTGGCAGGCTTTAATCTTGTTACCTTTCCATTTGTTTAAGGGAACAATCCTGGCATTCTTCCAATCATCAGGCAGGGATGTAGTCTTCGCCCAGAGACACCCTCCAATTATGCCCTGTACATTTGCAGTCTTTTCATTTTTCAACATGCTCACAGCATGTGTTACTTCTTTTTCATCATTGTTTCTTACAAACATTTACAATATTTGCTTCAATTTCACACTGACATATAGGTAGTCCTTGACTTACGACCACAATTAGGACCAGAATTTCTTTTGCTAAACAATGCAGTTGTAAAGCATGATTGCATCGCTTGGCAATGGCAATCCCTGCAGACCTGGTTGCTGTCATTAACTGAATCCCACGGTAGTTAGGCAAGGCAACTTCCTGCTGGCTTCCCTTAACCAAAGTCAGTGGGGAAGCTGGCAGGAAGTCACAGGCCAGCAGGCAGGTAAGTGGCTGCTGCTGAGTTGGGGAGGAAATGAACGGGTGCATAGGGGGTGCAAAAGTTGCTGCAGGGGTCAGGGAGGGTATGTGTGCGGCAACACATGGCAGTGCACAAAAAACATCAAGTGAGTCGGGGAACATGTATGGTGGTGCACAAGAGGCACTGTGTGCTGAGAAGGCTGCACAAGTGTGCATGGGATGGTGTGCAGCAGTGGGTGTGTGAGGCAGCAAACAGGTTGATGAGGGTGCGTGGGAATGCACAAGAGGTACCCATGTGAATCAGGGAGGGTGATGCGATGGTGTGCTGGTGTACACGTGATGCATCCCACAGACTGGAGAGGATGTATGAGAGGCATCACATGCACAAGGGAGGGTATAGGGGTGCATGAGGGGTACTGCACAGGTCAGGGAGGATGCGCAAGAGATGCGTGCCTAGGAAAGAGAAAAGAGACTTTTTGTCTTTTTGCAATCTTCCCTGCCCACTTCCCGATTTATGACATGACTGTGTGGATGCTAAAATGACTGTAATCCTCAGGATCACTCAAAACCACTATTAGTTCACCACCATTTCAAACAGTCACTGAACAAATGATCATAAGTCCAGGTTTACCTGTATTACAATCATTTCCACACAACTGTAGCATTTTCTGACTTTAGTTTCATCCAAAATCATGTAATTGCTTTTTATATAATCCCATTAACTCTGCTTGAAGCTCTTTGTTAGCCATTCCCCACTTCCAAAACAAAACTGCCTTGTCTTTTTCACCTTTACTTCCTCTTAACAAATACCTAATTTTCTATACATATATTATCTTCATGTTTTGTACATACATTTTCTCATCCACAATCTCTTTCACTTCATCATCCCACCAATTCTACTTTCACTAGTGCCAGGTTTACTCCCACTGGTCTTCCAGCACAGGGGCCCCTATCCCCAGGCTATGGTACAAGTCCATGGCCTGTTAGCAACCAGACTGCACAGCTGGAGATGAGTGGCAGCTGAGCGAGCAAAACTGAATCCATCCCCCACCCCAGGTCTGTGGAAAAATTGTCTTCCACGAAACTGGTCCCTGGTGCCCAAAAGGTTGGAGATTACTATTCTAACCCAAAAAGGACACATATATTTTGTTTCCCAACACACCCAAAAGTCATGATCACATGGTTGTTATTGCTAAGTTAATTTTTATATTGCTCTTCCTCTTTTCTGATGTAGCATGATAAAAAGCCTTGATCTTTGGCCATCTCTAGGAGACCATCCTAAATTTCCTAATAAATTCCTAGTTGGGTAGTTTGTGATGAAATTAATATTGCTTTTGCTCAAGCAAGGCCCCCTTGAGAGTATCTTGGTGATCTTAGAATGGCTTGTGGAGTTGCCATTCTGATATCAGCATCGTTCCTTTGTTCTTTTATTTAGAGCCTGGATGGTTTACCCAACACAATGTGTGCCCAGCACTGACAAAGGGCATATGTCATACTGAAGAATGACTTATAAAGTTCTGTTTGCCAGAATAGATTTTGGGAAAGAATTGGCATCTGGGTTTATTGCTATTGGTGGCAGAAAGAAATATTGGTTCTGTATAAGGGAGATATTTTCCCCCTGGGGCAGAGTTAAGAATTAATAGAATTCATCTAGCGTCACATTTCTTCTTTTCAATGTTCTCTGGAGATATAGTGAGGCATAAAAGCCTCTTTTTTTTTACCAACCTCCCAAGACACATGGCTTTTCCTCACCTTTTGTTCTGTGTCCATTTAACTTCCTTTTCGGTTTTTTTCCCGTTTTTTAAAAAAAACTGAAATACTTCCTTTAATATGATTTGATGGCATTGTTCTATTTGATCCGTACATTTGCTGATAATGTCATCTGCTGGCATTTTAAATGTTGCACTATTAGTTGACATGCCGTATTATTAAATGCTATATGAATACTAGTGCATAAGAGGTGAATAGAGCAATGCTCTATCCATTACTCATTAACCGACCTTATTTTGATGAGATCAGTGTGTATAGCTGGTCTGAGCAGGACCAAGGGCTACTGTGAAGATGTAAGCATTAATGTGAAATATAGGACAGTTTCCATTAATGTTAAACAGGTCTCATGCTGGAATGTAAATATTTGTTTGTTTGTTTGTTTGTTTTATTGCTTGTTATTATCTATGAGCCAAGGTGGCGCAGTGGTTAAATGCAGCACTGCAGGCTACTGCTAGATTAGCAGTTCAGCGGTTCAAATCTCACCGGCTCAGGGTTGACTCAGCCTTCCATCCTTCC